CCCATCTGGATGGACCCTCTAGGTGTGGAGTTTCTCCCCACCCCCAGGTGTTCTAGACTGGAAATTGTCTCTTTCAGTCGCTGCCTTTGAACTCTGTGGGGTGGCCATCGATGAGACCTTAATTTGGGGGCATTCGGGTTCCTAGTCCTACATGGCTCATTTAAGTGCCAGGTTAGCTGGTGCTAAAGCCTGTACCCAAGGTCTCCTACTGAGGCACCACTGGGAAGTGTCAGGGAGATTCAGACCTGCCTGTCATCACGTGACTGTGGCACAGGACCCGCTGACTCTGCGACCAGCTCACTCACCAAGGAAGCCTTCTTACATAGCAGCTTGGGAGCTGCCCTCACGTGCGTGCGCTGCCAGGCCCGTCCACCAGGTGTTTGCTGGAACTACTGAGATTTGTCAGCGTTCGGAGGGACCCAGGAGAACGTCCTTAACGCACAATTCAGAAACTGGCTCCTGATAATTCATTTCAAAATTCTGCAGAATACAAGTTAACTCTGGATTCCTCTCAGAGTTCCAAAATATTCTTGGGACATCTGAAGGGATTCAGACTGAACTAGAGCCGTTGGTCCCATTAATTCATGGTTTTCCACCATTCCTGTACAGTGAAATCACCATAAACAAACATTAATACCTCGGTTCCCCCACCTTCTCGATTTAACTGAGCTATGGTTTCCCTAGTAATCCAATGTGATCCCCTTAGTCCAGTCGTTCTCAGCTTTGGCAACGTGTCAGAATTATCTGGGGCGCTTTTAAAATTCCTGGGGCCCAGGCTGCGCCCAAACCAATTTAATGAAAATTTTTAAAGGTGGGGTTGTCTTCGTTTTCTTATTTTTTATTTTGACAATGTGAATTATTGTCCTTTCAGTTAACTTGCTAAGAACTGTTTAGGGCATAAGCAAGTTTACCATATTTAGGGGTAGTGTGTGTGTTTGGTAGCTATTAGCAGAGATTACTGTTGATTAGGAGCTTATCCAAAGAATTGTTGACAATTGAGTCGCTGAAGATTTTGTAGCCAAAGTCAAATCCAACAACACTGTGTTTATTTGCTTTTTGCCAATTGTTAGGCCATATCCCGTCACAGTCTAATAATCCAAAAGAGAGTATTGCCAAATCATTGGCCAGTTTTCAGAAGGGCTAACCCTTTTCTTGCTATGGAACTTACAAGGCTCACCTATAACCAGTAAGGCATACCTTTTTATTTGAATCAGTGGTTTCTGACAATTAAGGATTTATTTTTTCTTAAAGGGAATGGATGATATTGACCATTGTTGGGAACAGCAAAGCTTTTTAGTAATTGGGTGCCAAAAGCAAGGACACCATCCTGAGAGACTGAGCTCTCTGTTCCACATCTGTCTCTCAGGGCGGTTGTTGGTTGCCCAGTGCACTGCTGCCGTCTCTCACTCAGCACCTCAGTTCCCAACTTAAACAGCAGTGTTATTTCTGTCAGGTGTGGAGTGATTGTTTTTGTCTGCTGATGGGTTGCCTTGTCCAGCAATTATCTAAATCCACCCTTTGGCCTTGTCTCCAAGCAGAGAGTTCTGACAACAGCAGTGGAAGTATTGACCATCCATTGCCAGTCCCTTTATGATGTTATTAATGCTCTCCCGCAGAGAACATACGTATTTCATTTTTGAGGGGCATTTTATGCTTTGCTTACCCTTCTGTTAGTTCAGGAGAGGTCCTGGTTTCATCCCTTAGAAACCTACTGCAAGGCTTAATGTGGAGCCACCAGAGAGAGCAAGTTGAGAGGAGAGGTGTTCTTGCCTCCTGAGTGATAATAGTATGCAACCTCAGAACAGTTCTCCAGCAACAGCGCCTCTCCCCTGAAGAGTCAGGAATGTGGTCCAGCATCTCTTGGCCTCTCATGGGTCCTACATTTAGAGCTGGGTCTTGCTTATATGTCTAGTAATACGTCTTATTTCTGTTGGGTTCCTTGGTACTTTTTTTCTTCTTTTTCATTCTAATATAAATTTAAGATAGTTCACAAGACAACTCTATAATTAAGATAAGATTGAAGTGAGATCTGCACAACCCAGGGTAACTTAAGTAATTTTGTAAATTACCTAAAGATATGAGACATGAGCTATTATATCCACCTCCCTACCATTCCCCTTCGCTTCCTTCAGGCCTTCCCTCCCTCCCTCCCTTCCTTCCTTCCTTCCTTCCTTGTTTTTTTCTTTTTTCTTACTGTAGAATTAGTTAGTGTTAGAGGAGAAATGGTTACCAAATTGGCTTTATGGTTACTCAAGGTTGATGCAAAATTATACTTCAAACTACAAAATAACTTTATCATTTTGTGTATATTTATAAGTGCCTATGTTTAGTGGTTTTAAGAAATTTTAACATAAATAAAACTTACATATGTGAATGCATTCCAATTGTAGACATTTTTTAGCCCAAATAATTATACATATAATTCACTTTTACTGGATTTTACATCTAATTTTTCCATTTTTTTATTATTTGAAAAAAAAGCATTCAAAAGGAATTAGTCATAGAGAAGAATTCTACAGTGTTTAGGTTTGAATAATTTATTACTACAATTTTAAATTAGTTCTGACAGCTCATCCTTACCATTGAGGTAATATCACTTTCATCTCATTCAGTGTTCATGATAATTATGAGTACTTAGCTTTTCCACATTTATGTTATATAATTTCTGTAGTTTAGACTAAAACAGACTGTAAGAACTAGAAGATATATATGGAGATCACCTGTACCTATCCCACATCTTACAGATGGAAAATTGAGAATTGGAAAATGTAAGAAACCATTCTGAAGTCACTCACAGACAGGGGTTGGACCTATTGGTTATGACTTCACCTGGTCTTCTCCATCAGGTTCCATTATCCATGATACATCTCAATAACTTTTAAATTAATTGATTATAAGCCAAATTTTGTTGCTTACATGAAAATGGGGCCAACCACAAACCTTACCTCCAAATAGTTATTTCTTTAGCTAAACTTTAGTATAATCAGAACAGTATTATAAGAATAACATGATAACTTTATTAATAATAGTAATTATAAAACCATAACTGTTAACAATCCATTAAAATGGCCTAACATTCTACATCAATTATAGTTAATTTAGCTAAGAAGCCTGAAAGCCATTCATTAAACAAGCAACAAAAATTGTAAATATTTACAAAGCAAGCCTGGCACTGTCCTAGACAAATGTTTACACCATCATCCCCATGCATTCTTTTTCAATTGACTGTAACACATAATATTATAAGATGATAAAATAATAACATTGTTCAAGTGCTAGTAATACAAACAAAATTAATTTTCACTCATGGATTTTCAAATTCTAATGTATATATTGAGGTATATATTTGACCCCATGAAATTTAATGCCATTGAAATTGGCTATTAATCATAACTGCTAAATGATAAATCCAACCCTGATATTTCAACCTGACAAGAATAACTGATTCTTGAGGAAAACTAAGGCTTACAAATTGAAAATCATGGAATTAACATTTTTTCCAACTCACTTGTATTTCTTCCTTCACATTTACCTTTCTCTTAAGAAAATATAAAACTATGGTATAGATTACCATAAATAAAATGTTAAGAGGAACGTATTTTCTGCCTAGGTAAATAATTAAGTAGTTTAATGCAAGCTCATTATATCATGAATAAATGAGGGTACCACAGAGTCACTTCTGTTTCATAACAAGACACAGTTGCACAAGTCACTGAGTGCCTTTTTGAGCACACATTAAGAGATATTCCTTAAAAGAAAATCAAATTATTGTTTAAAATAAATTCTCTGTTCCTCAAACTAATAAGCAGTTTTTGTGACTATTTACTGAGTACTCCATTAGTAGTGTCCCTAATGTGTTTTGCTAGCAGACAAATCACATTTCAGTGTGAATAATATCATTTATATTTTGCTTAACTTATGAGCATTTTGAACTTAGGACATGGAAAATATACTTTCAAATTAGTTTGGGTTATTAGCTCCAACTATAAATTTTTCCTATTCCAGGACATGTTTTCAGGAACATAGTTCAACTATCCAAGTTTAGAGAAATTAGAAGATAATATTTAATTTTTTTCAAAAAAGAAAAAGAAAACATAAAGCATGTCACTTGAAAATGATCTTTTCCAATATTGTTACAGTTCATTAGTAGTGCTGTAAATAAAAGACATTACTTACTGTAATTGTTCTTCATCTCTTGGGTCCCTTTGACTTTGCCTCGTTTATCAATTCTCAGATACCACTGTGTTCGACAGAAGAGTCTTCTTACCCTTATATCCCCTCCTTCCATGTAATCATAACTTCTTGTATGTCGCTCCGGGCTGGAACAGTTCACATTTGTAGCCATTTGCTCTGGAGTCATGTCATTGCAAGCTAAAGATATAGTGCCCACTAGACAGATAATGGGAAAGCAGGAACTGTAGAGCAAAGTTGGCAGGATCCATGTCAGTATCCATTTGCGCATTATAGTGTAGTGCTCCGGGTGTTCATGAATACCATAATGAAAATTAAATCTTGAGTTGATTGTTGCTCCTAGGTCATTGACCTCTTTCTATCTGTGAATTGTAGATTGATTTAAGACAAAGTAGTTGCTCTTTCTAAATTGTTAGCCTTATCCTTCTAGTTCCTGATAGCAATACAGGATTCCTCCTTCACTCTGTTGGTGTATCCTTATAAAAACAGGTTGTAGTAATAAGCGCAGTTGCTGTGACGCTGTTAGCTACTTGACTTCTGTTTGCAGTGAGAGATTAAGAACAGGGACAGCAGGAGAAAGGAAGATGAAAAATTGTATGTATAACTCTCAGTGGGTAAATAGTTTTATAACATAATCAAGTATAGTGTATCCTGGGAAGGTATATTTAAAACAGCTTTCACAGGATGTCAACATCTTAACCACTCTATATGTAGATTTATATAAGTTATGCATTAGTAGAGACAAGTCAAAATATGATTGTAGCAATCATTCCAGTTGCTATTTGATAAGAAACATCCTGCAATTAGAGCTATTGGTTTAAATTAAGTTCTAAAATTACTATTAAAAAAGTAAAAAATGCTTTTCCAAGATTTCTTAATGCGATGCTTTTGCATTTGTGGTTAATCAATTCTTTTCTCCTGAACTGCCCACATTGCTCAAGTTAAATGTCAGGATTGCTCTGGAGAACTTCAACCTTATCTTTATGTAAGTTCTACTGCGAAATGACTATAGATAATTTCATGGCTCAAAAATCTGGTAACTTTACTTTTCCCCTCAGTACCAAAACCAGAGAAAGAGATAAACTGCTAGAAAACATTCAGCATTATTTTTAAAGACAAATAACAGTAACTTACTTGTTCTGTTGATAACAGCTGGATACACAAGAATTCCATGTCTGTTGTCTGCCTTCTGCAACTTGAGCCTGTCTACTGTAGCTACAAACTACTTCTCAGCTGAGAAATTCTCCAGCAGAATCATAATTGTTTCCATAAATCAACAGGATTCAACAGAGGATTTTCTCTGCGTGTGTGAGTGCGTGTATGCTTGTGTGTATGTGTGTGGAGCCTTTTATTCAGGGCTTTTCGATAAATACCTTTGCTGACCTCATTGCAAGCAATTAAAACTTAACCAGTGAGCTGTTAGTTGAATACAACAGCAAGAATAAAGGAGGCTTGTATAGTATTCATTCAATGGTCATGAGAGGGAGCTATGAACATGGTTTATGCTTAAATCTACAAGTGGGTATCTCCTTAGTAGAAACAGCTCTCTGAGTCTGAAACAGTTAGAAGGAGAAGGAAATTTTTGGGCTGTCTTTACAACATAGCAGTTGTATATAAGTTGAAAAATATTCCTTTGAACATATATAAAAGGGACTTTTTAATAGTTAGAAAATCTTTTCCATAGCTTTATGATACATGAATTTCTATTACTCTCTAGTGCTGCTCAGAATGTTAGAATAAAACTGCTAATCTGTATTTACTCACATCTCAGTGTCCTGTAGCACAATATAGCTGAGTCAAGGGCATATCCCTTCATACAGAAATAGTTAACCATTGTATATGCATATGATTTTTATGTTATATTTCTACACTGAAAATGAGAAGACCAGGGTTCTTATTTGAGTTGGGTCACTAATTACCAATATGACCTTGGGCAAGTCACTTAATGTTCCTGAGTCTCAACTGCTACATTTGTGAAATTAGTGTAGTAGTCTAAGTGATTACATGCTGCCTTGTAGTTTTAAAATTCTGTGACTTGTAATTTTAACTACTGGTATAAGGAAAAGGATATACTTTTAAAAATTGTTATTAAACTTTTTAAATAAAGAAAATGGTTTTATATTAATTACCAGTATTTGACTCTTGCCTCAATAAGAACATTATCACAATAAATAAGTGTTAATTTATGGATGGACCTATAAAAGCTATAGTTAATGTAAATAAGAAAGCTATTTTACTTTCCAACATGAGGTGTTCTCCACTTTACTTCGTGTTCCAGCACATATATAGTAGTTTTCTAATGTTTTATTAGATATTTGTTGCAGGGTAATTGCATTGTTAATCTAAATCAACATTTAGGAATGTATATTAAAATTCTCTTTCCCATGTTAATACCCCCAAAATGTGCGTGCACGCGCGCACACACACACACACACACACACACACACACACTCACGCGCGTGCATGCACGCACTGCATTTGAATACCACCAGGTGGTGCATGTAGACCAAATAGGACAAGAAAATTAAGTTCCTTCAACTGGATTGTAGTTGATGTGATTTCCCTTTGTGTCTATGCTTTTGGGGAATAATCAAGAGCACAGAATAATTTAAATGTACCCAGGTACTTTATAAGCACCAGATATTGAAATTAACTTTATCAGGGCAGAGGAGTTTGGGCCCTTCTATAATTGCATCTGTTGAAAGCTAGATGGCTGCAAAAATATTCTATCATGTATTTCTCTAAAAGAAGAAAGAGAAGAAGGAAAGAAAGAGTGATGCTACTGTGTTCTGAATCATACCCCCATTAGTTTTGTAGGCAACAATAATGAGCAGGATCAGAACTCCCAGGACTTGGATATTCCCTCTAAAGAAATGAAAATTGCTGTCGGTTCACATGCAAAGGTACTCAAGAGCTACTAAATCTGTCTATTCCACACTGATCCTACAGATTTTAAATTAAGAAACCAACAGATGGGAAGTCAAAATTTTCTAATTAAATGCTTAAGACTTAAATAAAAGAAATGGATAGTTTGTTGATAAAGAGTTCTTGGTGCCTTCTGAAAATCTGCAATGTAGGGTTAATTATAAATTTGGAAACAAAGTAAGTATAAAATTGTGATCTATGCGCTTCAAGTTCATTAGGTGTCATTGTACTCTGTAATTTGAAAATATGATCCCAGCAAGATTAATGAATAAATTAATCTCAACAAGGGATCTATATTTAAATCATTTGATTATCATTTCCTTAATGGAGAATAATTAATTCAAGATGGGCCCACAACCTGTTTCATTAGAACCACAGCTATAATGAAGAACTTCATTTATGCCCTTATTATACTTCAAGAGGGATTCTCCAGAAACCAAGTGTAACTTATGTTATTTCTGGAAGGGATAACCCTCTGTTTTCTTTTTGTTTTTGTTTCTGTTTTTTATTCTTAGTAGTAATAATGTTGACAAGTATTTATTGCTCTTGATTTAGTGTATATATAGTGATAGGCCAAACACAGAGATATTTTTTTATTATTGAAAGTATTACAGATGTCCCCCTTTTTCCCCATTGACCCCCTCCTTCCTGCTCCCACCCACCTCCTGCTTTCCCCAACCTAATGTCTGTGTCCATTGGTTGTGCATATACAGGTATAAGTTCTTTGATTTATCTCTTCCCATCCCTCCCACCCCCCATCCCTCTGAGGTTTGTTAGTCTGTTCCTTACTTCCATGACTCGATCTATTTTGGTTGACAGCTTATTTTGTTCATCATGTTCTATAAATAAGTGAGATCAAGTGGTACTTGTCTTTCTCTGACTGGCTTATTTCACTCAGCGTAATACTCTCCAGGTCCCTTTGTGTTAGCTCAAAGGGTAAGAGATTTTTCTTTCTTACAGCTGCATAGTATTCCATACCACAGAAATATTTTGAAGAAATGCCTCTTTTGTTGTTTCAGATTGCATTAACTTTCTTTTTAACTGGAAACACTTCTTTAAATTTGTAAAACAAAGGATTCTTGCATCTATTCCTAAACATTGATTTCTTAAGAAAAATAAAACTAAAAAATAACCTTAGAAAATAAAGATTATCACCTGAGATTCTTCAAAAGGAAATAGTGTCTAACATTTGTCTGGTTTGATTTGGGGACAGAATATATAAAAAGAGTATAAGAGTCTCTTTCAGTGACTATGATGAAAACATAGGCAGTTGTTAAAGTAATAATCAACCATCTAGTTTTGCTTAAGCAACCTTCATTATATCCCTATTTCATGAAGAGATAAATGATTAAAAAAATGCTTTAGTTTAATCAATTTTGTATTTCAATAATAAATTTTAAACTTATGCCACATGCATAAGTATGTATAATAAAATCAATAGAAAAGAACATCATTAAATATTTTCATTACTTTTATTCTTACATCCATCCTATTATTCATCTCCTAGTTCCTGTCCTTTCCCCAAAATATAGGTAATCACTGTTATTAGTTTCTGAGTATATTTCCAGAGTTTCATATGCATATACAGGCAAACTAAATCCATATATCTGTATATATTATTTTACTTTTCCTCTTTTTATACAAAAGGTAGTATACCGTACACAATATTCTGTACTTTGCATACTTTTTACTTAATAAAAATAGAAAAATCTCAGTATTTAGAAAATGTCTTCACCTTTTAACAGCTGTATAGTACTCGATTGAATGGGCATATCATAGAGTATTTTACTAGCCTACAGTTGATGAACATTTAATTTTTTTCCAGTCTTTTTTTTATTACAAAAAAAAAAAGAGGTGCTGCAAAGAAGAAAGTTATAAATGTGTCACTTTTTACCATGTAAATATATCCATGGGATCCATTTCCAGAATTTCTCTGGTCAGATGGTATATATATGTATTTAGATATTTCCAACTTACCCTCCATGAAGTTGTACTAGTTTTACAATCCCACTAGCAGTACACAACAGTGCCTAGTTATTCAAAAGAGTGTATTGTCAAACTTTTGGGGTTTTGCTAATCTAACAAATGAAAAGGTTTTTTTTATTATAGTTATACCTTACATTTCTCATCTTATGAGATAAAGTGACCATCGTGGACAGTAGTATAGAGAAAAGGTGTGAGTGTCTACAATAGGTGGCATCAAGGCAACTTTCCCTACAGTGACACCAGCATAGGTGACCAAGACTTAACCAGATGAGGATGTACCTGTCAATACACAGACTACATGTTAAAAGAGAACATGTCTTGCCTGGCTGCTGTGGCTCAGTGGTTGAGCGTCAACCCATGCACCAAGAGGTTGCTGGTTCGATTCCCGGTCAGGGCACATGCCCAGGTTGTGGGCCCAATCCCCAGTAGGGGACGTGAAGGAGGTGGCCAACCGATGTTCTCTCTCATTGATGTTTCTATCTCTCTCTCCCTCATCTTTCCTCCCTAAAATCAATAAAGAAAAAAAAAAGAGAACATGTCTTTTCAACAACGAAACACCAGTGTGGCTCTAGTAGAGAAAATGAGAGGGACTGTGGTGCATGGCAAGGCTGCAGAGGCCAGCAGTGTGTGGTGGGCTAGATCAAGGAGCTTGATTTGTGTCCTAGCAGCAGTAGGAAGCCACTGTGGTATGTCAAGTAAAAGAGGGACATGGTCAGAATTGCACTTCCTGCTTCTATTCTGGCAGAGTTATTTAATTCGTATTAGCAGAATAAGTCTATGAGATGTTAAATGGTGTTCTTCCTATTTTCAAAAAGAGAGCCAAACTTTGTATTTGAAAAGGAAAGATGAAAGAGGAAAAAGCCACTTCCTGACTTGGGTAAAGACTAAATCTGTTTCAAAGGGT